GAATTTTACCCTGCTGCTGAGCGCCACCAGGAAAGGAACAGTTCTGAGAAGTTCCCTCATATATGTTTACTGTGGTTTCATTTCTCCCCAAATTGGAAAACATGCCACTTGTCATAGGCGGTTATCACATGTTGTACCCTAAGATAAGATAATAATGAAGCTAGCTCGGCCAGTGTGGCTCAGTGGTTGAGCATTGACCAAGAGGTCACTAGTTCGATTACTGGTCAGGACACATGCCCAGGTTGTGGGCCCAATCCCTAGTGGGAGGCGTGCAGGAGGCAGCCAATCAATGTTCTCTCTCATCGATGTTTCTCTCTCTCTTTCCTTCTCCCTTTCTCTCTCTCTAAAATCAATAAAGAAAAAAAATAATAATAATGAAGCTAAAACAATTGTGTGTGTTTGTTTTCAAATTATTCATGCAGATTGCTTTGTCTCCATGAGACTCCCAGGAGTGAATGGTTATTCCTAGAACCCTAACACCTACTTGACCACAAATCTTCAATAAAAGCACAATTTTTCTTTTTTTCCCTTCCTACCATCCCTCCTTCCTTCAATTAAATTTGCCAGGAGATGATTATAGGCATAGCTAAATATACAGGCCTCATTTTTAAAAATGGAAGTGATGTAATTAACCTTGTTATTAATAACAGGAAAGGAGTAAAGGGAAGACCAAATATAGGCATGCCATCTAGACAGCTTCACCAGGAAGCTACAACTTTACCCTCCCCAGGGTCCAACAAAGGGAAGAAAGGCATATTCCCAGTAAAGTTGGGGTGCCATAGGGAAGGTGCTTGCTGTCAGTCACACCTGAGAACAGGTCATTGGTTAGATGGGTGTGGCCACAGCAAGGGCATGACATTTGAACTATTTAATCCCCTGAACAAATGAGTTCAATCTCTTGTGCTCTTACTGCTTTGGGACTCCTGGGACTTGTGTTATTCTGGGTTTGTGGGGCTCCCGCTACATTCTCTCACATGGTCCATGGCCACATGGACCCCACACACATTAGACTGATGGACTGTAACTAGCCTGACACTGAACTGGATCAGGTTCCAACATGGAAGGAAACTCTGGACACTGGCTTTGCTTCTAAATTTACTGAAACCCCAGCTACACTTCTTCTATGACTGGACAAAGGGACATGGGACTTTGGGAACTGAGGGATGTAACTCCACGCAAATAAAAATCACTCATTCTCCCATGGGAGTCTCAGAAAAATATTTTTCTCCAGATATTGTAAATTATTTTTCTTCACCCCTAGTACCTAGTTGGAATAAAGAGGTCCCCCCCCCAACTTCATCTGAACACAGAAGAAAAAACAAGAAAATTCTTTTGGACTCATTTTTTTAAATTAGAAAGTTGAAAATAATGGTTTCTTGCAAATTTCTCAGTATCCTTCCTTCTTCCCACCCCAACATCATACACCAGTGAATATATGTGTGGGGTTGGGCAGGGAGGAGCTCTCTCTGGTGGTTCTCCCTTTTCTATTACAGACACCAGTCTTATGCAGTTAGTGTCCCACAGTATGACTTCATTTAACCTAATTCCCTCCTTACAGGCCTTATCTACAAATACAGTCACATAGGGGGTTAGGGCTTCAATATACGAATTTGAGTGCTCACAATGCAGTATATAGCCTGCCATGTGCTGGAGGAGGGGGCTTATGGTATCCAAGGCTCTGGGAGTAATCCTGAAGGGGGCAGACGTGTGACATAGTAAGACAGATGCTAGAACTATTGCACTTGCTCAAACATGAGGGGAGAGAATTAAAGCTGAACAAATATTTGGTCCATTAGCCCTCAGGGGCAGTCCCAAGTGTCATGAGGGGATATTTAGGTGTGCCCCAGCCACAAAAGACAAAGGGCCCAGCTGGAACCAATCTGCATTTGTGGGAGGTGTCTTCATGGGGAGGATGGCTTTGTGACCTCCAAAGCTCCCATGGAAGGCATGGTTTTCCACTTGAAGGAGCTGTGGGAGCTAATGGCTCACTACAGTGCGGAGTCCTGCGGCAAAGCATGGACACACATGTATTATACACATCTATGGGGATGGTTTGGGCCTGATTTCCCCGGGGAGGCTGGCCTGCCCTCCTCGGCCCTGAAAAGACAGCGACTACCAGATGAGCAAGCAAAGCAGGCAGACACCTGCTCCCTGCCCTCCCCAGGCTCCAGGCTGTCCCATGGGGCCTGGGCTCCATCCAGGGCACAAAGCTCACTTGCTTCTTGGTCCCAGGGCATAAGGGTGTGGCGGAGTCTCTGCCCAGACTTCAGATTAAAGCTCTTGTGATCTGTAATCCCGCCACAGACCCTCTGTAGTTTTCAGTTTCCAGTCAGGGTGATAGCTGCCTGGGCCAACCATCAAAACCCCTGAAGCCAGAAGAAGAAATGCCTGTCACTGTGAGTCACGGGTTGGATGCTGGCACAGTGGGAGCCACAGGAGGTTCTGCTGGGGCTCGTGACCACAGAAGGGAGCCAGGCCACTGTGAGGGTGAGTCTGTAAGCACCTGGGTTTGAGCGCAGATCTTTTTTTTTTAAATCCTCACCCGAGGACATTTTTCCATTTTTTGTTCAGATAGAGTGGGAGGGAGAGAGAGGGGGAGAGAGAGAGAAGCATCAACGTGAAAGAGACACATCGAGTGGCTGCCACCCGCATGACCCAACCAGGGCCAGGGATAAACTGAAACCGAGGTACATGCCCTTAGTGGGAACCAAACCTGGGTCTCTCCGGACCGCTGGCCAATGCTTAACCGCTGAGCCAAACTGTCCAGGGCTTGAGCACAGATCTTGTTAGAGACCCCTGGACAGCCTTGCCTGGAATCTACCCACCTGGACTTTTGGAAGATTATAGATGGGCTCTGGTCTGCCATTACCTGGAGTCTGTGAATATATGAGTATAGGTGTAAGGATTTCAATAGGCCCCAGTCATCCTTAAAATCCCAGCGCCTTCTGTGTCTGGCTTCTAACATGGAGCAGAACTTTCTCCACCTAGCTAGATCCATTCTCAGGGTTGATTCATGACTTCCAGCAAAGTATTAGTTTAATAACAGCAAGTAAAATGAAAAGACTACATCCCAGAATTTTTAAGAAACTTGAAAGACCTAATTACTTTACAGATAATAAATCCAACAACCAGAGAAGTAAAGTGACTTGCCCAAGGTCACACAGGTGGTTAGTATAAAGACTGTCAGAGCGAAGGAACACAGGGAAAGGGCCTTGTTTAGCTCAGAACAGAAGCAACCACAGTGCCTGGCACATGGTAGGTGTGGTGGATGGTGTTGCTGTTCTGAACGGTTCATTCCCTTCCTGGTTAAGTGCAGTATGCACCCCCCTACTGCCATTTATCATGTGGGTCCTCCCTGGGGAAGCAGTGACACGAGCTGAGGGCGGGGGAGTCTCTACTCTCAGCTCTGCAGCCTTGGTGACTGGCCACACCAAGCCTGAGGCGAAGGAAAGAATAAAGGAGGAGAAGCTGGCTGTGCTGGTCTCTGTCCAGCTACACCCTGGCATTTCTGATTTCACTGAACCAGCCAAGAGTTTCTCTGGGCCTCCCATATGCTGCCTGAAGGAAAGAGACTCCCCACCGGCAAGATGTTATCAGAGCCCTGGGAGTGGGCGGAGCAGGGTTCTGGACCCGGGAGCAGGAAAGTCCAGGCGCACAGGGCCACGTGGGAGCCTGGGAGCCGCTTCCAGCTCCAGGCAGCGAGCGGCTCAGAGGCACTTCACCCAGCCCACATCACCACACAGACTGCCACCTGCCTTACAGATTTTGGACATGTCAACCCCGTAATCGTGTCAGCCAATTCCTTAAACTTAATACCTCGTGAAGAATCATGAGCAGTTCAGAATCACGTTGTACAATATAAAATTTATTATAAAACTTCAGCAAATATAAATATCCAGGTGCCCCTCCCGAGCGGAGCTGCGTGGTGTGAAGGAGATGGTGTGAAGGAGACAGCGGTGCCCGTACTGGTGGAGGATGCCGGAGGCCCCCGGGCAGCTTTCCCTCGGGAATCAGTGCTTTCTCTCTGCATGGGTCTCGCCAACGTTTATGGAAAAACAAGTCAAAAAACCCATGAGGCATAACAATGAAACACGGGTTCTAAGGTTATTGTGTTGGTGTGTTTTTTGGAGAAGAATCACCCACACTCCTTCTGAGGACAGTGAGATTTTGGTGTAGGTGGCAATTCTTTAATTCTGGCATAACCTGTAATTCTGTCATTTAATGAAGGAAAGCACTAAGACATGGTTTAAATAGAAACACTCACTTGTAAATAACTGAGAAAGTGAAAACATAAAATATAAAATCCTCTCCTCCAGCATATGAATCTGGAAGGGATAGAGCACCTTAGCAGGAATTTCATTTTTCCTGGTTCCAGAGGCAAAGTCTCAAATCAGGACAGAGTCCCAGCTCTCCCGGGCAGCAGGTGCCCCTAAGAGACAACACTCAGCTCTTGTCACAGCACCAAGTCCTTGCAAAGAGAAACGCTGTTGCCGGGACATGAAGAGGGGGCCCTGGCGATGCAGCCAGGAGCTGTCCAGGCCACCAGCTTCTCCTGGTCGGAGGTTAGTTACTCTGGACCTCTGGAGGGTACCTCTGAGGTGGGAGGGAGGCAGGGATTCTCAGTGGCAGATATTTTCTACTCATTTCTATTTTTTCTTCTTTTTATAAAGCACCAAACATTTAGCATTTAGCAAGATCAGCTCCACCTGTCTTTCAGACTTGATTCGGCTTAAATACAAACGCTGGTGAGCACTGCTCCTGTTCTGCAGAGCAGCCCCTGTTGCCTGCCTCCAGGCATCAACCCAGCATGAGAATATGTGCTTGTGTGTGCAGGGGTATGCACACCCACACATGCGCACGTGTGCACAAAGAGCCTAACAGCTAAACGTTTGTATTCTTCCAGTTTCCATCTTCCTTGGACGCATTCCCGTGTGGACTGGACAGCTCATTGGTGCTGAAAACAGGTATATTTCTCGGCCCTGGGAGGCAGCCCCACTGACTCACAGGTTGGATTTGGAGCAAGTCTCGCAACACTGCTGGCCGTAGAACTGGTGGCCGCACATCCTGTGCTGGGGCACCAGGGAGCACCAGTGCAGGTGGTCTCTGCAGAAGTCATCTGAAGACAGCAAACTCCCGTTAGTCAATGTCCCCATGCCATGTTTAGTGCCTAAAGCTAATAACTCCGCTAGCAAATCAAGACACATTTGTTGTTGTCTTGAAGCTGCTGAGAGATGGCAGCTCTTCAGGTCAAACGGGGCCATGTGTAACCTGCTGTTTCTATAAGGCCCGTCTTAGAAGGTCCCTACAAAACTAAAACTTTCTTCTTTCTGTGTTAATCCCTCCCACTCAACCATTCATCCACCCGAGACAACAGGCCCTCTGAGGATGGAAGTTCAATCATCTAATTCTCTGACTGAGATGATTCACTTGCTCTCCTCCACTCCATCTGCTCTCTGAGAAGCCTCTAGAGATAAGCTGTTGGTCTCTGCAAAGCCATTTGAGGGTCTGTACATGGCGATGGTGTTTAAAATGAATAAGGTGGACTTTGTTTAACTTATCTCTGAATAAAGTGAATTGCACTGAAATAAGAAAAAACATCATGCTTTCTTAAAATTAGACTTAAAAGTCACCACCATTGATGTCACTTGTGGGGAGGTATGAGAATAGGGGCCGTTTTATGGGAGAACTGGAGGAAGGGATAAAAAGAGAGTAAAGGTGTAGCAGAGGCAAGACCTGAACTCTAGGGCTCTTAATCAGTGGGCAACCCAACCTCCTTAGGCTCTGTAAGGAACCTCTCTGGAAACTTGCATGCCACCCCAATATGCCAAGATCAAGCCTGGGGGCACCTGGGACTCACCTTTCTTCTCTGCGATAGGACAGAAGTGAGTGTTGCAGGCCAGGGAGGCTTCGGGCTTCTGGTGAACATAGCAGCCTATGGCCGGCCGGCCCCCTGCCAGGCACTGCACGGACCTGGTCTGCACGCCGCCCCCACAGCTGGCTGTGCACTGTGAGAAGCACATGCATGACTGTCACCCAGGACTGTTTGGTTCTCAGGGCACTCTCCTCCTCCAAGCGTCCCCCTCCACCCAGACTCCTCAAGGTGGTCTCTCTCTATGCTGGTGGGTGGCTGATCATTCTGGATTAATCCCAGGTATGTACAGAGGGGAGAAGTACCCAGAAATTTAGAATGGTCTTGAGTAATTCATGGGTTGATGGCCACAAGGAAAGGGGTGTCCATCTGGGGACACAGCACTGTTTCCTGAACCTGCCTGGGCTGTGGGTCTGGTAGGAAGAAAACAGCGTCCTTCATGGATGCCATCACCAAGACATCCCTCCTCGTGCTCCTGACAAGCCATCTCCCACAGAGGCTTGATAACACTAAGCCCCTTCTAGGCCCCAAGTTCATGGACTCTGGCTGCCTGGAAGTGGCAACACCAGTTTCCTGGCTTCATTTTGTTAAAGCTTTTGCATCCTCCCAAGGGCACTGTTCTCTGACACCAAGGCCCTGCACCTTATGGTGCACTGGCACAGCAGAGCTAGAGAGCGCAGTGACACGCTGGAGCATCTTCCACTCGCCAGCCAGGTGCACACACACAGAATATACGACTGGGTCATCTGAGATCCACACACACAGAATGTATGACTGGGTCGTCTGAGATCCACACACACAGAATATACGACTGGGTCATCTGAGATCCACACACACAGAATATACGACTGGGTCATCTGAGATCCACACACACAGAATGTATGACTGGGTCGGCTGAGATCCACACGCACAGAATGTATGACTGGGTCAGCTGAGATCCACACACACAGAATATACGACTGGGTCAGCTGAGATCCACACGCACGGAATGTATGACTGGGTCGGCTGAGATCCACACGCACAGAATGTATGACTGGGTCGGCTGAGATCCACAAACACAGAATATACGACTGGGTCGGCTGAGATCCACATGCACAGAATGTATGACTGGGTCATCTGAGATACACACACACAGAATATACGACTGGGTCAGCTGAGATCCACACACACAGAATATACGACTGGGTCATCTGAGATCCACACACACAAAATATACGACTGGGTCGGCTGAGATCCACACACAGAGAATATACGACTGGGTCATCTGAGATCCACACACACAAAATATACGACTGGGTCAGCTGAGATCCACACACACAGAATGTATGACTGGGTCGGCTGAGATCCACACACACAGAATATACGACTGGGTCAGCTGAGATCCACCGCAGGCCAGACACTGAGAAAGGAGTGATCAGAAAGACAGAGGAAGCTGAGCTGCAGCAATTTATTAGTCCAAAAGAAAGCAACTCAAGCTCTAGACTGACTTATATAAACTGTGCTTAAACAAGGCTACTGGTTCAAAAATGCCAAGAATGTAGGCAATTAAGGAGCACCTGCAGGAAAATGGGGTCAGGTAACATTTCAGAGGTCACGGTGCATGGCGGGTAAGCTAAGCAGTTGCTTTAAAATTCAAGAATGAAGCTGTTCAGTACTGGGGACATGCACGACTCAGGCCGCTTGCCAAATTTACAGGAGCGTGCATTAGAACCCCATCGGAGCACATTAAAGCAGCAGCTCGGGACTGGCTTTCCACCGCACACGTCAGCCTGCAAGTGAGCACCAGATGCCCCCTGCTGCTTACTCATGACCTGCTGCACTCAGAGCCTTGCAGGGTGGCTTTTTAAATCCCCTTGGGGTAGGGACTGTCAAAATAAATAAATAAATAAACACATAAACAAATAAATAAATACATGCCACTTCAATATGGAGTTGGAGTTGCCATGCCAGAGGAACTGTCTTGCATGTCTTATGCCTCAAACCTTCGGAATGCTAAAATAGGGCAAAATTACCTTTGCAATTAGCCTAAGCAACCTTGAGCTCCAAAGAACTGTTTGTGGAGATAACAAAAAAACAGACGTTATGACTAGTGATCTGAAGACAGCTGGTATTAAAATAAAAAATATTATTTAGATTTATTGTCTCTAAGTTATGTTATCTGCACTAATAGACATGCCTTTCTTCTATGAATGTAATTGTTCCCCTTCCCTTTCTCATAAATATTCCTTGACTTCACCTCATTGGAACACAAACTTGTGCTTCTGCCCGAATCAGCGGTTCCCAAATAGCTATTCTCATTGATCACAAACATATGTTTGTTGCCTCTCACTTTGAAAGGCCTTTATTTTTATTGATGGAGCAGGTAAGACATCTTCATCTGCTCCAGGCTTCCTTGGTCACATCCGCCTCTGCAGCTGTCCACAGGGCCTCCACCTCATGAGATAAGTTCTTTCATAATCAGCAGCTAGGGAAGAATGCCATTCTTGCTAAGGGCATTATGCCTCAGTGAGAAATCAGGAGATCTGGCCACTATTTGTCATGTAAACCATGCCCAAATAATTAATGTATGGTTTGGTTCTTTTTGTCACTGATTCATTTATTCACAAATAGAAATCACTCTCCTCTCTTTAGCAGGCACTGTTCTAGGCACTGAATTCTGCATGGTGAATACAAGTCACTTGCCTCTTACACAGGTACTTATAGAATAGTGCTATTCAAAGTGTGGTCTGGGTCTGTTAGCAGCCCTGACTCCTGGAGTCCCTGCCTACCCCCGACTCTACCCAGAACAGTCTCCAGGTGATTCTTATGCACACCAAGTGAGAAGCACTGGTCTAGAGTTTTAAAATTCCTCATGAGAAACATACATTTTTGGGGGTCAAAAAGTCTCCAAATTCTGCTAAATTTGCATTTCTTCATGTAAACAGAAAGAACTAAGATGTTCAACTACCCATTTTGAAGATACTTTGCACTAATAGAGCTGGTGATATATCAGAAGATGCAAGAAAAAAATAACTTGAAGAAGCTTCTTCACTTTTATTCTCAGAAAGAAAAATGTATGTAATTTGTTTATCAGTATCACAAGCATAATGGCTTCAAACTCCTGATGACAGGACAGAGGAGGCCAGCTTGCTGTGTAGTGACTGTGACCAGCACCTGCACCTGCTCATGGACCTGCACAGTGACAACTGCTGGGCCATCTGTCCAGAGCCCCTTGCTGTTGGCTTCACCTCCAGATCAGTGGTTTGCAAATATGAATGTGTGTTCAACCCATCTTTAGGATTGGTTAAAAGAGAATGCTGAAACCCATCCCCAAATCTCAAGCTTCAGCACATTTGGGCTAGAACCTGAGCAATTGCTGTGGACCCTGAGAAAGGAGATACCTACTGAGGATTCCTGGAGGCTAACTAGACTCAAATTGAAAAGCAGAGCTAGCAGCTCTTTCTAAACAGGGGCCTTTCATGCAAACTGCACTCCAGGGAGAAGCCTGCATGCAACTGCCTGCCTGCACGCACTGTGTTCCCGCCATCTGAGCCTCCCCTTATAAAGGAGTTCCTGGAATTGTATTTCAACAAGAAGCACAGAGACTTTCCCTGTCCAAACAGAGCTCTGCAGCTATACCCCCATCAGCATCTTCACTGACTAGGGTGGCTCCTTTCTGACCAATCAAAATGTGAGAATTTGGAGTCTTCATCTGCATGTAGGTGGACCAATAAGGGGCCAGGGGCAAGGACATCTATCCATATAAGTCAGTTCCCCTCTGGCTTGGGGAGTACACTTTCCCTATCCACTGAAGACAGAAGACTGCCTGGCTGGAGCTGAAACACTGATGATGAAACACAAAACATGTTTCATGGGATCAGAGTGGAGACCAGCAGGCAGAGCAGAGCAGGCAGAGCTGCCTAGCTGAAGAGAGGTCCCGCCCAGGGCCACCTCACAGCCTAGCTGTTCCACAGTCCTGCTGCTTCATAAAGAGCTGTGACACTAGTGAGCTGTTCCGCAGATGAGCTGTATCACAGCTGAGCTGTTTGCACTGGGGAAAGCTTCTTTCTTCTCCACACCCCAAACTGAGGATTCCTGTTGGTGTTGAATTGCCGTCAATAGCCATCGGTTGACACTGCATATTTAATCAAGATGTTGCCAGAGGCCTCTGGGTCAGGCCTCTGCTCTGATGTCAGAATTGCATAATTTTTTTCAGGACTGACTTCAGTTATAACTAAATTTAAGCACAGTGGTGCATGAGCCCATATTGGTCATGACTGCAGACATTTTAACAGGTCATCTTGTCAAGGGACTGAAACTTTTTGTGTATTGCCTTGGCAGTCACTGTCATCTTTCAGTCAAACAGACAGTCCAACAGGTGTTCCCACTGAAACCATTTCCAGACCAAATCAAATTGTGGACCACCCGTCCCTAAGCCCAAATGACCCATATAACTGAAATCACTCCTACCAGGTGACAAGCCATTACATTTGATAAGTAAAGCCATTTAAATAAACAGAAATCCTGCATATCAAATGAACCACAATCTTTATACTATTACAATAATAAACCTGTCTGGGGGCAAAGTTCAGCCAAGCACTGGCCATGCATGACAGCCTGACGATTTTCCACAGTCTGAGTCCTAGAGTCCGCTCCCCAAAAGTGCAAGTCTTAGAAGATAATAGATGAATCCCACTGGATACACATCGGGCAGCATATGATAAAAATGACTTATTGGACAAACAGATTATTTCAGACTGGTAAAAGCTATTACAGACATGTTAGGTTTTTTTTTGTTGTTGTTTTGGTTTAAATAAATACTGATGAATCTTGTTTCCCTCTTGTAAATTTGTCTAGAGTCTCCAACCTGAGCAGAGTGGCCTGGCAGCCAGAGGGTTGGGAAGTGGTTTCAGGAGCAACAGACAGACAACAGTCTTGGGGAACCACTTCTATCCGTCTCCCATCCACACTTCTTCATGGGCAGAGGAAGGGAAGTCCTGCCCCAGAAACCACTCCACTCCTTAGCTCATCCACTGCTTCACCTTCGGCAGACTGTGCACGCAGAAGAAAATATTAAAGGAAAACGTTGGTAGCTATTGACATTTTTGTTGATTTAAAGTAGGAAAGGCTCGAACAGAATATAGTTCAAATGGCCCTTGCTCCAATAATTTAAATGAACCAATTTCTAATTTGAATATCATTTGGGGAGGGAGGGGTTCACGTATTTCTAAATGGAAAAGCTATGGCAGGTTTGGAGACAACCAGAACCACAGTGGAGCTGGCACATCAGCCAAGGTCAGCAGGTAAGGTCTGTGGAAGGTGCACCTCTTCCTCTCCAAGGACTGAGGGAATGGTTTCTTCTGCAGAGCTCAGAGACTCCGACAAGGAGTTATGGCTGAGGAACCAGAGAAAGGGCTGCGGCCAGGTTGAGATGTTACAATTTTTTTAAAAAGCCGACTGATACATAGCCAGATCTGGCTCACAGAGACACAGCCGGGGCTCTGACACAATGGTTGGGGGTTGGGAGGGCATCACTTAGAGAGGATTTTGAACTAATTTTATTCTAGTAAATGATTAATATCGAAAGATTCCATGATGGGTTAAATTAGTTCTGACAAATATTTCTGTTTGTTTTCTTTGGACTTAGGATAATAACTATGTGTGATTTTTGCTTTGTCACATTGTTCATTTCAGTTTCCCACTCAGGGTTGAGTTTACACAAGAGGATTGCTGGTTAGTACATGTTGGTGGTCTCCAGAGGGAGGGTGGGTACAGAGCCACAGTGGCCCTGGTCTGTTGGCAATTAGCAAAGCCAGGAGTAAAAGGGCCAGCACCCTGCCACCTTTTAGCCACTCCTGACATCAGGGGACTGCGATGCGCAGAGCTTTGAGGCCTCCTCCCCACCCCCCCAGTTTTCCTGCTAGAGAAGTCCTGGTGGTGGCAGACACTGTGATCATGTCAGATTCAGCTCCTACCGTGCACCTGCCTGTGGTCCTCACAGCCCAGGGCCAGAGGAATCTGAAGTTAAATAAGACAGAGCTCTTGTTGCTGGAGCTCACTTTAGGGGAGGAGGGAGGGGTGTCTGCAAAAAGTATAACCGGACTAGGACACAGATAACCACCTGTACTGGTTTCCTGGGGCGGCTGTCACAGATGACCACACACTGCGAGGCCTAAAACAACAGAAACAGCTCCCACGGTTCAGGAGCCCAGAAGTCAAGATATGGGCAGAGTCGGTTCCTTGGGCAGGGTCCGAGGGGGAGTCTGTCCATGCCTTTCCCAGCGTCTGGGGGCTGCCGGCGATCTCTGGCTTTCTTTGGCTCCTGGGTGCATTACTCTATGTTCTGCCTCTAGTACCTGTGACCCTTCCTCAGTGAGTCTGTCTTCACATGGCCTCATAAGGACACCAGTCATTGGGTTTAGGGTTCACCCTAATCCAGGATGGCCTTGTCTTAACGAATTATACCTACAAAGGCCCTATATTCAAATACTGTCACAGGTTCTAGGTGGACATGAGTTTTGGGGACACTATTCAGTGTAGGACATCATCCATGGGCATGGTGAAAGTCCCCTCTGGAGAGGAGCCAGTGCAGTGGCACATGAGAGGGGGTTCAGGAAAGTGATTTTGCATCCAGAGGGATTCAGGCTGGACCATAAAGTGTGTATGTAGTCCTCCAGCTGGAGACACGCTCACGTCCAGAGGATGATGAAACACCTGAGGTGAGTCTCAGGTGGTAGGTGATCTGGTCATTCAGGGGTCAATGATCTAGTCTGGCTAAGCACATGCAGTTATGCTTGGTCACTGATGTGAACCCTGAGAAAAAAAGACACCTACTAAGAAAGGCTTTTGGTGGCTAACTGGGCTCAACGTTTCAAAAACAGACTGAGGACTGTGTCTCTAGGAAATGGCCCACTCAACTGGCAGGTCAATAGCAGGAATTCTCTATCGTTAACAAAATTTACACAAATCAAAATTAGTTACTAGTTTCTGTGGGGCTGGGGACACAGCAGCCTGACTGGGAAGTAAACCATAGATAACTTTTAATGAGCTTGTCTGACTGCATTCCCTCCATGCACACACACACACACACACACACACACACACACACACACACACTAGCCTGCCACACACCAGCCCTGTGAGATGGGTAATTGTTTTAAATTCAGTCATGAATAAGCATGGAGGAAGTGAGTGGTTGGCAAGTGAGCATTGCTTTTGTATTTTAAAGATGATGCCACTACACAAGGGTCTCTCAATAGAGCACACAATATCAATAGACAATGGAAAAAAAACCCTGAGACAGTGTGTGGTTTGATTGCACTGGGAGAGAAAAAAATCTCTAAATGAAGACAAGAAGTGGTTGCCCTGACTCACTTACTAAATTTGATTTTTTCTTTAAAATTCTCACATTCAGCAAACATCCCCTGAATACTTAGTATGGGAGAGAGAGAGAGAGGAAGAGAGAGAGAGACACACACACAGAGAACACTTACACACACACACATGCAACGTACAAATGCATATACACTATACAAATATATAAGATGTACATATAAAACACTTAGTAAAGCAGTATCTGGCAAACATAAGTCTTAATGGTTGTTTCGTGACTATATCTGTTTTCTAGCAGCTCATGTCCAAGTTGGCAGCCTTGATCTCTGATCGTCTTGGGGCTGGAGGACGGACAGAGCCTGTTCCTGCACGAGAGGGTCTCCACTCCAGAGTCTGCTTTCTGTCCACGCTGCCTATAGTACAGGACCTCAGGGCCTCCCCCCAGTTAACTTGGGGTATAGGGCACATTCCCTGGCACACTCTTAGTGGGTTGGGCGGGTTATGCTGAGAGCTCAGAGCCACCACCAGTACAGTGTCCAGGGTTCAGTGCAGGCTCCAGGGAGGGTTTGGCACAGTGAGTGAGTGAGTGGGCAAAGGGGTGGACAGGACAATCAGATACTGCCCAGGCAAGAACGTCTTTGGGGGCAGGGAAGGCCATGATATAGGCTGCCAGTGAGGTTGTTTCTGTGGCACCAGGCACTGAAGAGATCTTCTGAAAAATATTTTTGGAGAGAAACAAAGACCTGTGAAAGTTCCTTTGAGAGTGACAAAAGAGACATCAGCCCAGTGCTCTTTGTGATCAGCTATTGAACATTAAACACCCAGCTTGGGGGCCCCAAGAGGATTCTTGTGATGGGGCAGCTTGGTGGTGCAACACCCCTGTGTATCTGATAAACTTAAGGTTTGACCTTGGGTGTGTTGGAGGAAATGTTACCTGGCAGGGTGCTGAGATCCTGGCCAAGGACCAAGGTATTTATAAGGTGGAAAACCAGAAGTTTGTGGCCATGCATGACATTGTGTTAATTTGCCTTTTAAAAGTCAACATTCTGCCTATGTGCCCATGATGACGATGGACTCTGACCTGGTCTGGGTTCTGCTGCCCAGAGGGGTGAGACAGAGCAGGCGTCCCCAGGGGCTCAGGCTGTCAGGACCATGGAGAAGTACATGGTGACTATGGGCTGAAATCACATGATAGGTGTTGGCCCCACTGAGAGGGCCAGCTTCTGCCTCTCACTAGAGTCTCTGTGCCTCAGTTTCTTCATCCGTAAAATGGGGGTGAAATTTTACCTCCCTCATAGTGCTGCTGGGAGGGATAAAGGAGTTAGGAGCCCCACAATGCCTGGCACAGTGCCAGCAGTGGGAGGGGGTGGCTTCCAGCAGGTGTCAGTCATTGTCTGTCTTTATTGCTGTGCATGGCAGTGAGGCTCCAGCAGAGAATCCAACAGTACCTTCCAGGCAGTGAGAATATGATTTTGAGGACCCACTGCAAGATGGGCCTGGCCGAGGGGGACACAGGCTGGTCACCACTGCACTCTATATTCCTCTTCCTCCCCCTTCATACAGAGATGAGCCCCACTGTATGAAGTAGAAGGAAGCTGGCTCACTGGCGGACATTAGAAAGTCAAAACATGTGCCCTTCCCTTCCCTGTGGAGATGGAACAAAGCAAAGCGCCCCCTCCTGGGCAGAAGCCAGAAGTGCAGTGTGGGTGCTCCAGGCTTGGCCGGCGGGGATGGGTTAAGCAGGGTCAGTAGCCCTGTGCACCCCACTGATGATGGTCAACTCTATGGACCTGAGAGCAGAAATAGCAGCAGGAGCCAGAGGAGTGAGTGTGTGGCCCTGGGACAGGAAGGAATCGAAACTATGGGCAGAGGAGCAGAACCACAGGCGGAGAAGGGACAGAGCGCAGCAGCGTGAGGGCTGCCAGGATCCCAAGGCAGAAAACAGGCCAAGGAAGGAGGGCGAGTTAGCAATAGCAATGGCAGAATTCTCCTTGGAGCTGAAGGAAGTGTGCAAGGAGGGGGGAGGGAGGGATGCCGAAGGACTCTGCGGACCCTCTGGGCCTGGGCTGCCCTAGTCCGAGGGCCCAGGCAGGACGCGGCAATTCCAGGCCATCTCGCCCTCTATTCTCACTTATTTGTAATAAACCTACTATAATCTCACAACCACTTACTTTTTCCTAGTTTTTTTTCCCCCATTCACTAATCTCTGGGGAATTCGGCCCAGTTTTTACCAAATGCATTGCATTTTCTGACATTGAATTGGGTGATGATTTAGAACAAAGCACACATGCTCTAAAAGATTCCATAGCTTTTGTAACCACCCTTTCAAGAGGGCCACAGGCACACCCACAGACACCTGCACGCACCTGGAGAGAGGGTCAGGGACTGCTTGGCCGCTCTGACACCCTCTCCGAAACTCCCCGCCTGAGCCAGCTGCCACGGTTGGGAGTGGGGCCCCTACCTGAGACCAGGGTGAGGCAAACCAGCTGGCCTGAGGGGGGCCCATGGCAGCAAACAAGGGGTGCTTGGGGCAGGGGAACAGGGCGCAGGCGCGCTCCAGCTCCAGGTCGGGCTGCGGCAAGTGCAAGCACTTCTTTGAGGTCAGCTCCCGGTACTTCCCAGATATGTACTTCTCTGCACATTTCAAGAATCGTTTTTGTGTTCCCCTTTCACAGGTAGCAGAGCACTAGAAACAAAGGAAACAAAAGACGTGAGTGAAAAACATTTCTTCTGTGGTGGCTGTCTCTTTTACAAAATCGTCGAGTCAAACTATCTCTTGATTATATCAGCTTGAGCATTTACACGAGTGTAAACATTCAATGAACTTCACTGGCATTACAGACTCTATCATTAAAAAACAAACAAACAAAAAAACGGAGGACTCTGGTGCTGTGACTAGTTGGATGGGCAGTGTGCTGTGCACTGGAAGGTTTCTGGCTTGATTCCTTGGCTGGGTTGTGGCTTGATCCCCGATAGGGGTGTACAGAAGGCAGCTGATTGATGTTACACTCTCACATCGATGTTTCTCTCTTCTCCCTTACTTGTTCTAAAAATCAATAAACTATGCTTTAAAAAAAAGGAGGATCTTAAGACCATAGTGGCCTAGAGTTTTGGGAATAAGTGGAAGCAGGGCAATCAAAACCATGAAGGGAGTAATTCTGAAGTTATTTCACTGGGAAATCAAAATGTTGGACTGTGATATTAGAATGCAGTGACATTTAATATACTGAACATGAGGCAAACCCCAGAACTTCATGAGTTAACCGCCTAACTGCAGTGAGAAGCTGGATCCTAAAGCAGGGCAGACAGAGGAAACACAGGGCTCACAAATATTCCCCCGAAGGCCCCGTGCTCCCCGTGAAGAGAGTAAGCACACATGAGGAGCAAATCCCTGTGTTCCCACGGAGGTGTGCTCCAAGCCTCAGCTGTCACTGCTGCGGGGCACCTGGCACCTGCAGAATAGGCCCCGGGTGAACCAGCGGCCACACAGAGGTGGCATGCACAGGTCGCACAGGGAGGACACGGAAGCACAAGGCAGGCTGTTGTACCAGAGGGCTGGCTGGGCTCGGAGGGTCTCGAGAGAGAGGTCCCAGAGTCTGAAGTCACTGGCCTGTGCTGAAGGAGGGAGTGATGCAGAGCCTGATGGGTGATTCCATCTGTTCTGCAGTGTCATGTTTGCCTTTGTCATAGACAGAGGAGCCCAGGTGGCCACACCTGCCCAGGGTCTGGCCTCTCTCTCTTATGCTTAGGCATGGCTTACAGGTTTGCTTTGTGGGTGTCCTGATGCCAGTACAGAGACAGAGCTGGGAGACTACTCTCAATTGCTTGCTGTGGCCATGCCTGAGAGAGAAGCTGGGCCTGTGTGTGTGTGTGTGTGTGTGTGTGTGTGTGTGTGTGTGTGTGTTAAATATACAGGGCAGGGACTCCCCACCTGGACGCCCACAGAATATGCAGCCCAAGTCACTTCCTTCCTATGGACTCCTAAGGACAGTGCAGTTCACTCCTAGGACATACGGACATTCCTGTGTCTAGGTGAGAGAACCTGGAGTTCTTCCTTAGCCATGGTACTTGCTTCAGTGAATGACCATATTTTCAGTTTTCAGTAGCAAACTGAAACTGTCGACATGGGGTTAAAAGCCCTGGTTGACACAGCTACTCCTTTATTGGTTGATTTATGTTCCACCCTGATTAAGGCATCATTCCAGGTGCGGGCTGGAATGAGACCCTCTGTCTGTCCCTGAGGAGCTCAGGGTCAGGGAGCTGGGGGCTTGTTTCCCACAGGTGCTGTGGAAATGCAGACAGCTCTAGGACTGTGGAGGTCTCGCAGTACCTGTTTCCACGGGCTTCCACTTGGTGGGTGCTGCTGTCATTCTGCACTATGTCAGCTTTCTGATGTCCTTCTGGGGTTTACTGACACCTCCACCTCTGAGTTGATGCACACCACAGCACGATCAAGGAGCTTCTGACATGCCCCTCAGGCAGCCCGGGCACATGTCCCGATGCCCCCTCCCCGTGTGGGTGGCTGTGCTGGGCAGAGGCAGCAGTTCTGTCTGCACGCTCACAGCTCTCCTGGCCCTCAGTTGGGCCGAAGCTGGTCATAAAACCTTCAACCCTCCAAATTTCTTTTAGTCCCAGCATAGCAGGGCCAGGGTAGTCCCCAAATAGTGCAAATAAGGAAGCTTCCTGGCCATCAGCACAAGGCATTGATTCAAGCAAACCTAATGCAAGTGGTTTCTTCCCCAGATAGAAGACCTGCCCATGGATGCTGGTCTCAGGGAACAGATCCTCTGACTTTCCTAGGCCATGCACGCTCCTCCTGTTGCATAAGCATTCCCTGGGAAATAGTTACAGCTGTTCTGGGGTCAAGTGGGTCCCCATGACCCCATTATCAGCACAGTGAATATCCCCTGCTCTCACCCTTGTACCCCTTTTACCCACTTATCCTCATCTTAGCACCGAGAGCTGACCTTATGGATGCCACTGGGTGGGTTACTCAAGGACATGATCTGGAAACTGAAGGACATAGAATGGAGTGCCTTGAGGTTGGCTGAAGCCCAGATGGTGGCCTGAATGGTGGGGCGGGAGGGGCAGAGATAAAGGAAAAGGGGGTGGAGAAGGAGGAGGAGAGGGAAGTAGTGAAACAAGGTGAGGATATGCAACCCTGTGGGGAGAGCTGGTCAACCTACTTCTATCTGGAACAGGCACATCTATCTGAAACCAGGTGCACCTACCTGGGACCAGGCAGACACAAGCCACTGCAGCTTCTTGTGCTTGTGACAACGCTTAAGCGGACAGGCTTCGTGAGTCCTGGGCTTGGGCTCCGAGCTACAGAGGGCATCGGGCAGCAGCTGTGCCCTGGCTGAGGGGTTGGTGCTCTTACAGGCCACAGACCTCTTCCTCCATCCCTTTCCGCAGGTTCGAGAGCACTGCACAGGAAGAGTAAGCATCAACTCCCAGAAAGGAATGGATCAGACCTTGTTGGGGGACCCAGGCCACAGGCCCTGCAAGGCCCGGTGAGAACCTAGATCTGTGTTCCACAAGAGGGGCCCAGCTGCCACCCTGCCCCCATCAACCCTGCCCACAGTACCTCTGCCCAGGGCCCCGCACTCCAAGTGGGTGGACAGCTCTGGAGGTGGCAGGCCTGTCGGCTGGCGGGGACAGGCTGGGGGCACAGGCTGGTGGTGACCCGCTCTGATCTGTAGTGAGCCCGCCGCGTGCACTGAACCACTCGGCTCTGGGTGCCCCCACCGCACGTCCTGCTGCAGGTACTCCAGTTCCCCATGGACCAACTGGGAGGGAATAAAGAGACCTGCAGTGAGGGATGATGCCACCACTTCAAGAAGGGAGGGCCATGTCTGTCCAGAAAGCAAGTGACATTATTTCCCATCTACAGTCTACAAATGCAGAGTTATTTTAGTTGCCCCAGGGGTCTCCCCTGACGGAAAGTGCTTCTCACTTCCTGATTAGCCTTCCTGGTTGCATTCTTCCCCCCTGCCTTGGCCTCCAGGGCCACCTGTGCTTGGGAATATCTCTCTTCAACACAGCTTGTCTGTTTTTCCTCTAGCTCTTTTTTTTTTAATGGAAAATTTCAAACATATACAAAAATAAAGGTCCTCCCTATTTCATCCACCGAACTTCAACAGTTACCAATTTGTTCCATCCCCAATAGCATTTTCAAGCAAATTTCAACCTGTAAATATTTCAATATGCATCTCTAAAAGATAAGAATTCTTTGTTTTTTAACATAACCACAAAACTATTACGACATCACAGAAATTGACAACCTTATAATATTATATATTCAGAGTTCTATTCCCGATTGTGTCATATGAGTCATAATTTGATTTCGTCTGCTTGTTTGAATCAGACTCCAAATGAAGCCCCACTCTGCAACTGGTTGATGTCTTTTCTCTGTTTTAGTCTATAGGATCATCTTTAATCCCACTTTTTTTCTATTTATTTTGTTATAGAAACTAGAATGATCACCTGACTCAATCTCCAATGCTGTTCTTTTCTTGGCTTGTTAGAGATTTTGCAGCTTACATCTCTATGGTATCACTTAAAATGTTCCTCTGTCTTCTTCACTTCCTATAAGTTAGTGGTTGGGTCTAGAGGCTTGATCACCTTCAGGTTCAATATTTTTTGTATGGTGACTTCAAAAGTGGTAACTTCAATAGGAGGCGCATAACGTCTGGTTATCTTTCCCTCACTTTGTTAGCAGCTGTGGATGCTAGAGACTGTTGTTTTTCAAAGCAACCTTTTCTCTTTTCTGGTTATAAAAGTTTTCCCTTTCAACATGTATGCTGGCAAGTGATGGGGATCAGATGGAATTGGTCCCAGGCTTGGTCCAGTGGCACCAAGGGGGGTTGCAGAGGTGCCCTCCACTGCCTTTGTACAAGTCCATACACAGGAGGCTATGGCACACTTGGGGTGGGGGGCGCTGAGGCAAGAGAGAGCCCGGAGGTCAGCGGTGCAGGAACAAGATGCATCTTTCTGGAAGGCCCCGGGCTCCCGCAGAAGACAGTTATTTGGATGGCCAGCTGCGCCTCCCAGCATGTCACCGTGAGTCACCATGGGGCACCAGGGACAGCAGAGCCCAGGGAGGTAGCTTGTGAGGCTCTGCCCTCACTAAGTCTGTGAAGACGTTTCAGGGGTTGGAGGGGGGCAGAGAGGAATGCTCTGTCTTCTATTCCTCAGCATTTCTGAGTCCGAACTATATAACGGTGATCTTCTCCTGAGTCTTAAGGTAAAATAGAGATTTGTGATGATGCCCACTTTCATCCTTGGGCTTCATACCCTGCATCCTCTCCACCCACTCAGAACCCCATAGTCTCACGCGGGCTGAGGAGCCAAACCGGCAGCTAGACTGCTTGGTCAGAGACACTCCTACCAGTGGGAGAGATTTTGTGAGGACCGACCTTTAGAAACCCGAATTATACAGAGAAACATCAAGAGAAAGACAGAAACCACCCAGAGATCAATTGCCATTTGCATTTGCTTCTGGTGTTTCTCTCTCTCTCTCTCTCTCTCTCTCTCTCTCTCTCTCTCTCTCTCTCTCTCTTACATGACTGAAGACAGACAGTACACACAACCTTTAAATTTGGCATTTTGACAGTGCAATGTCTAGAACAAGCATTCTTATACTGCAGAGCCTTTGTAAACATATTTCCAGAGTCTCTGTGTTCACGGTATGCGCTAAGGCGTGTGCATCTCTGAATAAGGGAACAGGCAGAAGGACTGTTCCGTGTGCTAGGTCAGCCACGACCCTCCACGGTCCTGCCAGTCCCAGGTAAGCAGTTCAGCCGAGATTCTGAGCAAAATGACCGGTTTCTCCTCAAGCTCTCCGATGGGTCTGGCTTTCAGAGACAAGTTCTGGGCTCCTGTGGAAGTTCTCAGGATAAGTCAGTGGTGGCAGGAGAGGAAACGGATGACGCTTCCTGGACGGGAAACAGCAGTGACCTCACCCAGCGCTGCGGCAGCCCTGCCAGGCCCTGGTGCCTTCAGGCTGAGCTGTGCCACGACAGTTTTACTTACTTGCATTTGTAGAAGCCTTATGCCAAGGTTTCTCCTGAAGAAATTCTACTCTGTGTCTAAGAAAATGACAAAGAAATCCCTGTAATGCAAAGTTTTATTTACATAAAAAACAAACAATGTTGGGCTTATAGGGATTGCTCCATCTCAGCTGAGAAATGCTTCCATTTTTCAGGGTCAATTATGTTACTGTCTTTTCGTTCATTTAAACCACATAAAGGATGCCTCCTTGTTAGGAAACTTGGGTTTTTGGCCTGGGCTGTGAGGCTTCTGCCTTTGCAGCCTCTTGGGTGCTTCCTGTTGCTTTTATGTTTTCTCCCCCTCCTTGCATTTGCTCCCTCGGACCTGCAGCCTTGTAAATTATAATTGCTGTGTCCACACTGAGGTTGCAAAGCCGCCTTGGCTGCACTCAGGCTTTTCACACCCCCTTGTTAAGTCTTCTGTCTCCACCACCGTAAGCTGTTCCAACTGGGTTGATCCATTCTCTGCCCTTCTGTTAACTGCCCGTCATTAAGAAATCCTCCTGAACAAAGATCTCTCACACGGCATCTGGAGACGCCAAGGGTCTGTTTTCTCTCACAGGCAGCGCTCTGGGGAAATGTCTTAATTTCAGCTTATGATAGAGTCGAAATTCACACAAGCTTCCACGCTTTCTGTAGGTTCCGAGAGCAGATGCGAGGTGTGTTCGGTAGCAAAGCAGGGGCCACCTTTGTCCCGCGTTGCTTGTTCTATTTTTCCTGTCTGCCAGCTGGAACAAAGCAGGCAGCTGGCGTGACCCAGGTCAGGAAGACTCAGCCCCCGGCCATCATCTGTGCTTCCCTAGCCCAGGTGGCCCTCGACGCGCACACCTCTAGGGAGGGCTGCTGGGAGAGGCGATGGACTTTGCAGCTGTCACTCAACAACTTAGACAAGGTTTCCTGGCACCATTGTTTCAAGATTCAATAACATGATTTGTCAACAGTCATTAGTTGTTTCTAAATAAAATGACTTTCTCCTCTCTATTAAAAAAGTTAACATTTTAGTTTTGGTTATTTAAAATTCCCTTTGGAAGATGCAAACTTCCAATAAGAACATTTGGCTTTAGTAAAATACCTTGTCACCAACCACCACCCAGGCAGCCACATGCTGTAACTACCATTCAGATTCAGAGGTCACGCCTCCTGACACGCACCAGCGCCTGGTGCCGAGGCTGACCCCACCCAGAGCCATTGGGGGCTGTCACAGAGTTAGCATCAGTGAGTCACTAGGAGAACAAATGACTGCTAACTTCCTTTTAGAACTCAGTTTCAGCTTTTTCATTTTTCTGCTTATTCTCTGAATTTTGGAGACAGCATGGGTTGTTCTAGTTTCACAAATAATGTGATCTTCTAGGAAAGAGTCTTTCATGACTCAATAAAAATGTGAAATAATGGCAGCACAGAACCCACGTCCCAGCATGATCCTGCAAGGAGGCATGACAAGCGTCAGTTGCTCCCAGCTGGATGCAGTTCAGGAGGGTGTGTGCTGGACACAGTGAAGGACGGACTGAAATCGAGCTTAGACAGCGTGTGCCTCCTCCACACGGGCAGACTAGTGCACATGTGACTCTCACATGTTAGTGTACCTGTCACAACTTTCAAGTAGGTTATTTTTTTAAAAAATCTTCACCTGAGGATTTTTTCCCATTGATTTTTAGATAGATAGAGTGGGAGGGAAGAAGAGAAAGAGAGAGAAACATTGATGTGAGAGATGCATTGATTGGTTGCCTCCCACACAACCCCAACCGGGGCCAGGGACTGAACCTGCAACCAAGGTAAGTGTTCTTGATCAAAAATTGAACCCGTGACTCCAGTCCAAGGGCCACGCTCTAACCGCTGAGCCAAACCAGTCAGGGCCAAGTAGGCTGTTCTTAATCAAATCGTCCAATTTGATGTTTCTAAGTGACCTTTACAGACCTCTGTGACCTTAACCATGGATATTACACACTGAGTTACCGGTGGTCCAGGGTGAAGGCGGCTGCCTCTGTGGTCCGACAGACTGGGAATTGTGTGATTTTTAAAGACAAAAATCTAGTCTCCATGTGACACTACGGCACCTTTGCATGTGTAAGTAATTTGAGATCTACCACACTCTCCCCACTCTTCTTCTACATGAAATGTTTTAAAGATAACAATGCTTATCCAACAAGAAAGAGATGCTAGTTTGAAATCTGCCTTGCCCTGGTCAGTTTGGCTCAGTGGTTGGAGCATTGGCCCATGGACCAATGAGTCACAGGTTCGATTCCAATTGATGTGTTTCTCTCTCCCTCTCCCTCTCTCTCCCTCCCTCCCACTCTATCTGGTGATAGATGGAAAAGTATCCTCCAGTGAGGATTTAAAAAATATATATATATGTGTGTGTGTGTGTGTGTGTGTATCTATCTATCTATATCTGCCTTTTCCATTGGGAACAGTAAATTAACTTGAAGAGGGCCGGAAGAATTGTAAGCTGAAAGCTCAGCAGTGGAAGTCAGAGAACTTGGGAGGATGAGGAAGGAGAGAAACTCCTTTCCTGAGCCCGTCTGGCAGATGGCCATGGGCCCTTAGCCTGGCTTCCCTATCTGATTTGAAATGTGTTTTTGGTCTGTCAAAGGATGTTTCATCAGTGTCAAATGGTGCCAGCTACCCTCTAGGAACGTTCGGAGGCAGAAGTCCAGCTCTGCCAATGATCTTGGTAACCAAATGGGCAAGGGAATGGTGTCGGTATAGCCAGATTTACTGGACAGACAGACAGCACTCTG